ATTTGACAGATTGTTCATTTTCCTCTTATTTGGAAATTTTTGTTAAACAGATATGTCTTTTTTTTCAGGCAAGGAAAGTTAAGTTTAAAACAGAATTTTTTTTGATGATTTTTGTTTCGTTCTGCTTTAAGTTTCTGGATTAAACCCTGATACTGTTCAAATTCTGAAACACCTGTTCATGTAAATTGTTTTTGCTTCGCTGTCCTCAGATGGGGCAGGAACTAGACAGAGCCAGAAGATTGCTGGAACAGTCAGAAGATAGCAGAGAGTCCCTCGTTCAACAGGTTTGTTTGTCCTCTGCCTGATTGTATGTAAACCATTAAACCTCATGAGACAAAACAGTAAGATGAGAAGAGACTTTTTGGAAATCTTCAGTGTTGTTCTGCCTGCTGTCAGACAGTCGGATGTCTTTTTTCTGCGTTTTCTTACACGGCTGATGATCCCCAGGTGGAGGACATGCGCTGTGAGCTGCAAAGGACAAGGGAGGAGAAGACGGGGCATGAGAGGGCACGGCTGGAGACTTCTCGGCCCAGTGCTCAGCCACATGGCAGCTATGCTGACAAGGATGGTGGAAGAGGTGGGCTGCAAGGGCCAGGTATTCGGTTGTCAGGGGAGAAGAGAGTGTACGGATGCAAGTTAAATGGATGGTTTTAAAGATTGCTGTGCCAGTGGAAATGGATGCTAAGATTTTGTTTTTTAGGATGACAACTTTCGGGTTTTAAATGTACAGAGTTGTGAAACGAAACACCGACAGCTCTGTTTCCTTCTTTTGCTCAATACTCGGGGTGTTCAGTAAAACACAGCAAAACAGCACAGCTACAAGCAAGCAGCAGAAATGAAACGCAGAGAAGGTGACGCAAGACAACAGAGCAAAACAAAAAATGCAGCCTGCTCACTGTGAAAACTTGAGTGTGGACTTACGTTCATTCACAATGTGTTCACAAGATATACCGAAATTTTTAAACCGTGGGATGATTTATCTGTCACATGGATGCTTTTTAAACATGGCCAAATTTTCAAATAATAACATCATTGTGTGTAGCTCCTCTCTACCAGCCAAAATCTTGGGCTTCTGCTCGATCTTTACTTAACTAGGATTTTTTTTACTCATGATGGCTCTGCTGTTGTTTTTAGGGGGGGCTGCGAATCAGAAGAACGTTGGCTTAAACAAAGAGGAGCCTCAGTCACACAGGCCTCGAGGGCGGTCAGTAGGGCTGCTCAATTAATCGAATTTTAATCACGATTACGATCTGGGCTTTCAACGATCATTAAAAATGACTGAGCCGATTATTAGCCCCTCCCTCGTGCTTTACTCTCGCGCTG